TCAGTGGCCACTCCCCACCCGCAGCTGGCCACACCCTGGCGCCACTTCTTCACCTCGATGCCCGTCTACGCCATCATCGTGGCCAACTTCTGCCGCAGCTGGACCTTCTACCTGCTGCTCATCAGCCAGCCCGCCTACTTCGAGGAGGTCTTCGGCTTCGAGATCAGCAAGGTTGGGCCCAAAATCCCCACAAAACACTCCTAAAAACCCCACCAAAAAAAAAAAAATCTCAAAAACCCCACAGAAAACACTGCACAAAACACCCCAAAACCCACAGAAAGCCACACAAAAAAACCCAAAAAGCCCCAAAACTGCCCCAAACCGCCCCGAACCCCCGGCCCCGCAGGTGGGGCTGCTGTCGGCGCTGCCACACCTGGTGATGACCATCGTGGTGCCCATCGGCGGCCAGATCGCCGACCTGCTGCGCTCGCGGGGGCTAATGTCCACCACCAACGTCCGCAAGATGATGAACTGCGGCGGTCAGCACGGGACAGGGGACACGGGGGGACAGCGGGGACACGGGACAGCGGGGACATGGACACGGGGGGACAGCGGGGACACGGGGGGGACATGGGGGGGACACGGGAAAGCGGGGACATGGTGGGGACAGCAGGGACACAGACAGAGGGGACACCGAGGGGACACTGAGGGGACAGCGGAGACATGGAGGGGACACAGGACAGCAGGGACACAGGGGGGACATGGAAGGAACATGGACATGCAGGGGACACTGGGGACATGGAGGGGACAGTGGGGACACAGAGGGAACAGGGACACAGACACAGGGCAGCAGAGACACGGAGGGGACACTGGGGACATGGGGACATGGAGGAGACACAGAGGGAACGGGGGGACATGGAGGGGACAGTGGGGACAGCGCTGGGGGGACATGGAGACACGGAGGGGACAGAGGAGACAGAAGGGACATGGGCACTGAGGGGACACAGAGGGGACAGCGGGTGACAGCCGGTGGTAGAGGGGACAGCAGGTGACGGCGTTCCCCTTGCAGGGTTCGGCATGGAGGCCACGCTGCTGCTGGTGGTGGGCTACTCGCACTCGCGGGCCGTGGCCATCTCCTTCCTGGTGCTGGCCGTGGGCTTCAGCGGCTTCGCCATCTCCGGTGGGGACAGCGGGACTGGGGGGTTTTGTGTGAGATTTTGGGGTGTTTTGTGGGGTTTTTTTGGAGTGTTTTGTGTGGGGTATTGGGGTTGTTTTTATGTGGGTTTTCTGTGGGTTTTTGGGG